CGGTTAGATCAGCAGGAACCAGCTCTAAAGAGATGGCAGCTCCAAGCCACTTAAGGCGCGGGTGGCGACGGGCCGTTGCTACAGAGTGTCGGCACCTGCTGGTTGCTGCTCTGTGCACTCCATGGCACCTGCACGCTACATCTGCAGGAGAGCATGTGGGCACCGGGGTGGGCAGCACGCAGTCTGCACCCGCTCTCATTTTACTGAGTACAGACTGCACGCTAGGCTTTCTCTAATGACCTCGTGAATTATCTCCACTCATCAGATGACTAGACTGAGACGTGAAGCAGTCCAGGGAGCTGTCCAAGGTGGCAGAGCTAGGACCCAAACGCAAACCCTTGATTATCAGCACCACTTGCCGGACACACAGGGTGTGCAGGCTCTTGTGCATTCAAAGATTCCTGACATCCGAGTGCCAACGTGGTCACACGTGGACATCCTGGAGTCCAGTGGCGTGTTCTTGGGAACCCTTCCTTCTGTTATTTTCCGTGAGTGTGAGGCCTTCACAAAAGCTTTCCGTGTCCAGTTTGAGCTCTCTGTTGACCCCAGGCCCCTTGCCCAGCCTTCTCCCTGCCAATGCTCACGAGACAACTCCTAGCACTATCTCCACCTGTGGCTGAGGGCAGCTGGCTCTTGGGCATCACTGGGTTCACTGACCCCTGGCTGTGACGGGAGACATGGCCAGTGCAGAAGTCAAGCCAGCTGCCCAAGGCATGCTTGAGAAAGCACTAGGCCGGCCAGGCCAGCTGGGCTCCTGCACCACCTGGGAGGCCTGGATGGAGTCCTGGCTCTTGGTTTCAGCCTGGTCCTGTCTTGGCTGTTGCTGCCATTTGGGGGTGGAAGATTTCGCTCAATGTCTCTCCCCTCACTCCATCTGCCTTTCAAATAATTAAATGCATATATTAATTTTTAAAAATGAGTTGGGAGTCTAAGATTTATTTGAGCTGAATTGATCCAAAGCAGGAGCCAGCAGCTCCTTCCAGGTCTCCCACATGGGTGCAGGGCCCCAAGGCTTTGGGACTTCCTCCATTGCTTTCCCAGGTCACAAACAGGGAGCTGGAAGGGAGTGGAACAGCTGGAACACGAGCTGGTGCCCATATGGGAAACAGGCATGTACAGGTGGGGGGATAGCTAATTGAGCCACTGCACTGGCCTCATGTTGGCTTACATGGAACAGTGGACAGCATATCCAGATGCACATGGAGGACATGGCAGTCCACTGGAGCCTGCAGAGGACCCATGGTACCATAACAGAGAACGGAGGACAGAATAAATCAATCAACTATCCCAGCCAAGAGTTGGCCGTGAATACTGGGCAAACGGAGACTCTAAGGTGGACTATGTCAGCTAGCAGAGTGGCAAGATCGGCAGCAATATGGAACTGCTGAACTATCAAACCACTGGAGCAGGGCCCTCGGAGCCTGCCCCACCTCAGGGACCCTGGGATGGGTGGGAGGCTGGGTGCGGTTTCTCCCTTTATCTCTCCCTTCCCTCAGATACAGGAAGGAAAAGAGAATGTGAAAACGACGCTGTCATCCACTTTCCTGTAGCCCTTAAGAAATAAAATTTATACAATTAAAACATTTTAAAAAATATTCTATGGGTCAGTGTTTGCAGCATAATGGGTTAAACCAGCATTTATGATGCCGGCAAACCAGAGATAATGACTGGAGTACAACTCTTGCACTTTTCTCTCTTTCTTATTTATTTACTTAAAAGAGTTACAGAGAAAGAGAGAGTATCCATTCATTGACTCACTCCCCCAGACAGATGCAACAACCAGCACAGAGCTGAGCTGAGTCACAAGCCAGGAGCTTCTTCTAGTCTCCTACACGGTGCAGGGCCCCGAACGCGTGGGCCATCCTGTGCTGCTTTTCTGAGGCTGTTAACTTCTGCTGCTCCACTTCTGATCCAGCTCCCTGCTAGCGGCCTGGAAAGCAGTGGAGGACGGCCCAAAGCCTTGTGTCCCTGGCACTCCTGTGGGTGGGTGAGAAGCTCCTGGCTCCAGGCTTCTGTTTGATCCAGCCCTGGCACTTGCAGTCTTTTGGGAAATGAGTCAGCACGTGCAAGATCTCTCTCTCCCTCCCTTTCTGTCTCTTTGACTTTTAAATAAATAAATAAATGAAAGAATCTTTACAAAAACTGTTCAAGTTTTTGTTGTGGAGTATGTAATTATGCATTATTGCTTCTGTTGTAACTTTTTACTAATGAAGTTATTTTAGGATGATTGTAGCTCTACAGAGGTGTGAGCAGATGACACAGAAGAAACATTCTGAAGTAACACAGCTCTGCTTTGGGTCACCACGCCTCTTCCCGCGCAGGGGGGGGCTGCTGGCGGGGCTGCTGGCGGGGCTGCGGGCGCCTCTGCGAAAGCCTCCGCTTGCTTTTACTCCCAAGATTTTGGCTGGAGACGAACTTTGGGCGGGCGGCTTCTCTTCCATCCCACTGTGCTGGCCTGGCTCCTGTGCAGAAAAGGCGCATCTGTTCCTCCTGCTGCTTCCCAAATCTCTTCTGCTGGAGTTTGAATCTGAGGCACCTGCTGTTTGCCCTTTCAGCTTCCTGGGTCATTTCTTTGGCGTGTGCCACTCATCTGAGAATTCCTGGCCTCTGGCTTCCGCTGGCTGTGCACCCCTCTCGCTTCTCCTCTTGGTCTTCCAGTGGGTCAGATTGCCCACCTTTGGAAACGCCACACACGGCTGGGGCGTCCTGTTGCCGGTCTTTGTGTTCCCCAGGAGCTCCTGGCAAGCCCCTGCCCAGCCCCGACACTCCCTCAGCCATGACCACACTCCGGAGGGCTGGGCAAAGGCACCTTCCCTCCTGTGACCGCACTGCTGATTCCCGGCTCAGCTTTCAAGTTGTCTTCTCTCAAGTGCCCCTGTGTCTGGCTTACTGCTCATCTCTTCTCCCTGTCGCCAGCTTTCCTGCTAGGCCTTAACTGTGTACCAGATCTATCCCATGCTGATATCATCACATTCATGATTGATGGATATGCTAAGTTCATGACTGGTCCTTTATTTTTTAAGATTTATTTTATTTTCATTATAAAGTTAGATATACAGAGAGGAGGAGAGACAGAGAGGAAGATCCTCCATCCAATGATTCACTCCCCAAGTAGCTGTAACAGCCGGAGCTGTGCTGATCCGAAGCCAGAAGCCAGGAGCCTCTTCCGGGTCTCCCACACGGGTACAGGGTCCAAGGTTTTTTGGCCGTCCTCAACTGCTTTCCCAGGCCACAAGCAGGGAGTTGGATGGGAAGTGGGCTACTGGGATTAGAACTGGTGCTCTTTTGGGATCCCAACATGTGTAAGGTGAGGACTTTAGCCACTAGGCTACTGTGCTGGGCCCATGACTAGTCCTTGACTGAAAATTTATATTTGAATCTTGTGGTGCTTGGTTTCTTTTTACTGTTACTCCTCTCTCTTAAAGATTGACTTGGTTTACTTGAAAGGCAGTGTTGCAGAGAGAGAGAGCTAGAGAGAGAGATCCTCCATCTGCTGCTTTATTCTTCAAATAGCTACAATGGCCCACTGTGGTTGGAGCCGGGCCAGGCCAGAGTCAGGAGCCAAGAGCTTCTTCCAGGTCTTCCACGTGGGTGCAGAGGCACAACGACCTCTGCCATCCTCAGTGGCTTTCCGAGGTGCGCTATCAGGGAGCAGCTGGGACTCCACCCAGCACCCATATGAGACGCCAGCATTACAGCCAGTGGCTTAACCCATAATGCCACAACACTGGCAGTGTTGTAAGGCTGGAGTCGTCACAGGTCCTCAGAGCCCTCCCTTCTCCCTGCTGTCACCGCACTTCCCCGGAAGGGCCTCCTTGGCCAGGGTTGGCCCCGGCTTGTGCCAGCATTTGATCCAAGGACACTGCCCTGAGAAAGCCCTGGAGAACTTGCTCTGTGGGTCTGCCGGTGGGCTCTGTGCAGCACAAGTGCTGCCTGGGCGCATCCTGGGAACCCAGCTCTTTGCTGAGCTGCCCGGCCTGCCCGGCCAGCAGGTGCATGTCCTCAGTAAACCTCGCTGCTTGCTCCTGTGGCACATGTCACGTCTGAGCCTTGCACCTCTGGCAACATAATCCATCAAAAGCTAGACACCGTGCCCTGTGCTGCCAAGGCAGGAGAGTCCCGGGAGCCTGAGCCAGTGTGGAGGTGCCAGGTCTGTGTGCTGAGGCCTCGGCCCCCTCAGGCACCCAGCTCACCTGGAGAACGGCCAGCCCGGGGAGCCCACATCCCGAGACCACTTCAACTTCAATCTGTGGATCCAGCACATGGACCAGCCTCTGGCAGGCTTTCCACCAGGGTGGAGGCAGGGCGCAGCGGGACACCAGCAGTCAGCCTCTGGCAGGCGCTGCAGGTGGAGGATCAGCCAACCATGCCACCACACACACCCGACTCCCACCCCATTCTGCACACCTTAAGTGTGCCTGGGCTCACTAACTTATCAATCCGACAGACACCTGAGCTAACTACCTCTCTACAGGAAGGCCGGAGAGGAGGCCACTCAGCCCGGGCCTACAGTTCACCTGTCCTTGGCCCCGTACCTCCATTTTTAGCTTGCCGTGAAGCGTCCTGAGACCCGTCTCCATCTTGTGCCTCCCTGGCCCTGTGTGAGTGGCCGCTGGGACCCTGGAGTCCAGCCTCGGGGTTCCTGGGCTCCGGTGCTTCACGAGCTGAACTGCGCCCCTGGGAGGGGTGTTGGGGCGGGAGAAGCCAAGCTCCAGGCGGAAACGACGAAGCTCGCATACTTGGGACCCGGGGCTTCCAGGCGGCCCGGCCATTGTGGTTGGGAAGCTACGGGACCGGACGGCAGCCTCAGGGCCGGTGCGCCGCCCCGCCCGCCGTGTCCGGAGGTCCTGGGGGACGTCCGGCCGCCGAGCTCGTCCAAGCCGAGGCCCCGCGGGCAGCTCCCGCCCCTCGCCGGCGCCGCGAGCGCCCTGGTGCCGGCAGGCGGGAGGCGGGTGCTCGGGGCGCGGCCCGGCGCTCCCGAGGGGCGGCGCGGGGCCGGCATGGCGGGGCGGCGGGCCGGAGCCGGGGCGCTGCTGGCGCTGCGGGTGCTGCTGGCGCTGCGGGCGCTTCGGACCGCCGCGCACCCGCAGTGCCTGGACTTCAGGCCGCCCTTCCGGCCGCCGGAGCCCCTGCGCTTCTGCGCGCAGTACTCGGCCTTCGGCTGCTGCGCGCCCGAGCACGACGCGGCGTTGGCGCAGCGCTTCGGGGCCCTGGCTGCCCGCGTGGACGCCGCCGTGTGGGCCGCGTGCGCCGGCTACGCGCTCGACCTGCTGTGCCAGGTGAGCGGGCGCGCGGCGGCCGGCGGCACCGCCGTGGGTCGGGGCGCGGAACGGGGAGCGCCGCTGGGGCGGGAATCACCGGCGCGGCGCTGGGTGGGAGGCTGGAGGCCCGTGGAGGGTGCAATACGGCCCAGGGCGGGGGCGGGGGCCTCATTTTTGTGACTTGACCCCTCCTGCTTCAGGACATCCCTCCCTTTTGGGGGGCTTGGTGTGTCTGACCTGGGATCCCCGCTGGCCCCAGTAGGCCTCCGTTTCTGGGGACCCGGGTGGGACGTTTGCCTGCTCTCAGCTGCTTTGCCCATCCCTGCCAAGGCTGTGGGTTTGGGGGCAAGTCCCGCGGGGTGGCGCTGCTGCCTGTGAGCCTGGCCCCCCTCCCAGGCCCTGAACTCCGCAAGTCTCCCAGCTCTCTCCCTGGAAGGCACCCTCCGCTGGCAGGAGCTCTCTGGAGACCTGTGCCTGACACGAACAGGGCAGGCCTGGCTGGAGGGGGCAATGTGGACATCTGTGGAAGCCCTAAGTCTAGCCCTGGCCCTGCAGGAGGTAGCCCAGTGGTCAGCTTGTCAGCTTGGATTTCTCCCGTGTCCAGCCCAGGGACATCCAGGAGGCATTCAGGCAAGACGCAGAGGTGGCTGGCTGTTGGCCCTGTGGTGGTGACACAGCCCAGCTGCTGGGCCTAGGGTCCTCCCTGTTGCTCATGTGGTCAGGCATGGGCCAGGCGCTGGGAGGCCTAGGAGAGAGGCACAGAGGGTGTTGGGAAGCATGCTGAGAAGAGAGTTGCTCACCTCTGTGGACCTTCCTGCAGCCCTGTCACTCTACCCAGGGCCTTGCCCCCAGCCGGCCTTGCCCCCAGCCGGCCTTGCCCCTACCCAGGGCCTTGCCCCACCAGGGCTTGCCCCCACCCAGGGCCTTGCCCCTACCCAGGGCCTTGCCCCCACCCGGCCTTGTCCCCACCCAGCCTTGTCCCCACCCAGGGCCTTGCCCCCACCTGGCCTTGCCCCTACCCAGGGCCTTGCCCCCACCTGGCCTTGCCCCTACCCAGGGATTTGCCCCCACCCAGGGCCTTGCCCCCACCCAGGGCATACGCATCTGTACATCTGTGCTCAACTCACAAGTACTGCATGCAAGCAGGGCAGGAAGGGCCAGGAGGAAGGCTTGGTGACATCTGCCCAGGCCAAGCTAATGGGGAATCCAGCAGAGGGGCAGCCCTGGGCGCCTCTGGGAGTGACTCATGTCTGGAGTGGGTCTGCAGAGGGCGGCTGAGGCTGGGTCACTGTTTCCCTGACGAGCCTGTGGTGAGCTCTGGCAGGAGGGCTGAGCCCTGAGCCAGCCAGGACCACGCAGCTCACCCAGGGAGGCAGCCGAGGGGCCTGTTGGTGACAGCATGGAGGCTGCATGTCAGGGGCCTTGGGGAAGTCCAGGGAAGTCCCTCTTCCAACAAATGCCTGTGTCCTTGGGGAGGACCGGGGCCTGCTTGGGCACATGGCCTCTGCGCCGTAGCTGCTGTGGGCCTCCCATGGAATCAACTTGCCCTCACACTGCAGTCAGCTGGCTCGGTGACTGGCATTGAAGGGCACCGTGATGTAGGTGCAAAGACCCAAGTTCTCAGGCTTTCTACTGGGTGTGATAGCAGGGAGCTGGATTGGAGATGGAACAGCTGAGACTTGAACCAGTACCGGTGAGGGAGGCTGGTACCTTGGTAGAAGCTTATTGTGCCATGCCACAGTGCTGGCCCAGCCCCGCGGGTTTTCTGCCCATGCTTCCCAGAAGCTCGGGAGTCCCCATCGCTGGAGCTGTTAACTTGCCAAGAGCCGTTGGCCCCACTGCTTGCACTGACCTCTTGTGTGGGCACTGTGTTTGCAGGGTGGATGAGTCGGAGAGTGGAGACCATGAGAGAGGGGCCCAAGGGCGCAGGGGTGAGAGGCCTGGTGTCTGAGACCCCTGCAGCTCTGGGCTTTGGGAAGCACAGGGCTTGTAAATACCTGCTTCATCCTCACCAGGCTGTTTCTCCCACTCCTCACTGTGTCTCCAGACAGTGCCCAGCTCACTGCACACCCAGCACATGCTTGTCCGGGAAGCTGCTGACTCGTGAGTGCGTGGCCAGGAGACACAGTCTTGGCCCTGGTGTGGTCATCTCCTGGCACGTGGCCTTCTGTTAGCCTCAGCTCCTCGTCTGAGGAGTCACCATGACCCGAGGTTGTCACGTGCTCCCTCAGCTGAGTCAGAGCTGGCCTTAGCCTGGTGAGCCCAGACACATGGTGAATAATTACAGCCTGCAGGCCAGGGAGGCCCAAGGTTTTTGCTGTGGTTGTGGGCGTTGAGAGCTGGGGTGGGTCCGTGCGAGCCAGCCGTGGAGTTGGGCAGACCTGGCTCAAACCCCGGCCCGGGTGCTCGGCGGCTTCCTTATTTGTACAGTGGGTCTGAGGCTCAGTGGCTTCCCGAGGACATGCCTGGTGCTGGCCCTCTAGCTCTGAGGGCCTGAGAGCTCCTGGCATCTGTGCTAGGGCCACTCCCTAGGGACGTGGGAACTTTGCCTGCCAGAGAACAGAGGGAAGGGCCTGTCTGCAACGGGAACAGTGTGTGCTGAGGTCAGAGGGGGCCAACAGCAGGAGGGCAGGTGTCAGGAGCAGCAGGGAGAGGCTGGAGCTGGGCGGAGCTGGGTCCAGAGGGCCTGGCTGCCTCGCACTGGAACCCTGGCATCGGCTCTGGCTGGGCACTGGCAAGGCCCACTCAGGTTCCCACACCTGTATTTCCACAAAGCTCTGGGAGACAGTGGTGGCCGAGATGAGCAGAAATTCCTGCCCTGATGGCATCTATGTCCCGAGCATGTAAGCTAGTGCATTTCCTCATAATACCAGATAACCGTTGGGGGCGGGGGTCTGGTTTGTAAGCAAAGTGAGAAGGTCACAAGGAATGAAAGGGGGGATGGGGATGGCCTGAGGGGGCAGGGGGTAGAGCCAGCGCCCCCTGCTGTGGCTCGCCTACAGCAGGTGCTCAGAAGGTGCTGCGGCCAAACCCAGGGCCAGCCGTGGGAAGGTGGGAGTCCTGGGGGGCTGTGGTTGAGTGCACTCATGCCAGCAGAGGGCTTGGAGAGGCCGCACAAGGGCAGCGCCGAGTCCCACCTGTCTCCACAGGAGTGCTCGCCCTACGCAGCTCACCTGTACGATGCTGAGGACCCATCCACGCCGCTGCGCACGCTGCCCGGGCTCTGTGAGGACTACTGCCTGGACATGTGGCTCACCTGCCGGGGCCTGTTCCGCCACCTGTCGCCCGACCCTGAGCTCTGGGCGCTTGAGGACAACCGGGCCAAGTTCTGCCGCCACATGGCCCTGGATGATGTGGACTACTGCTTCCCCCACCTGCTGGTCAACCCGAACCTCAACTCCAACCTGGGCCGCGTGGTAGCTGACGCCCGTGGCTGCTTACAGCTGTGCCTGGAGGAGGTGGCCAATGGGCTGCGTAATCCCGTAGCCATGGTGCACGCACAGGATGGTACCCACCGCTTCTTTGTGGCCGAGCAGGTGGGGCTGGTGTGGACCTACCTGCCCGATGGCACACGCCTCGAGACGCCCTTCCTGAATGTTAGCCGAGCAGTGCTCACCTCGCCATGGGAGGGCGACGAGCGGGGCTTCCTGGGCCTCGCCTTCCACCCCCGCTTCCGACTCAACGGCAAGCTCTACGTCTACTACTCGGTGGGCGTGGACTACCACGAGTGGATCCGCATCAGCGAGTTTCAGATCTCCAAGGACGACCAGAACACTGTGGATCACCGCTCCGAAAGGTGCTTTCCGGGGAGCCTGGGCTGGGGTGGGGGCAGCGCTGAGGGAGGCAAGGAGCAGAATTCCACAGGCTGGTTCTTGAAGATTTAGTAATTTTTTATTGGAAAAGCAGATATACAGAGAGAAGGAGATACAGAGAAAAAGTTCTTCTGTCCACTGGTTCGCTCCTCAAGTGGCCACAACAGCCGGAGCTGAACCAGTCTGATACCAGGAGCCAGTAGCTTCCTCAAGGTCTCCCGTATTGGGTGCAGGGTCCCAAGGTTTTGGGCTATCCTCCACTGCTTTCCCAGACCACGAGCAGGGAGCTGGATGGGAACTGGAGCAGCTGGGACACGTACCAATGCCCATATGGGATCCCAGTGCATGCAAGGCAAGGACTTTGGCCACTAGTCTACTATGCTGGGCCTCACTCTGGTTCTTTAAACTTTTTGTTGTTGTTGTTGAATGCCAGGGAAAGGACAGGGGAGCTTCTATCTATTTGGTTGTCTTCCCAAGATACCTGTAATAACTGGGGTTGGTAGGAGCTGGGAATACCATCCAGGTCTTGGGTGGCAGATACCCAAGCACCTGTGTCACCACTTGCAGCCCTCTGGGCGTTGCACTAGTGGGAAGCTGGAAGTCAGAGCCAGTACTCTGGAGCCAATGCTCAGATGTCACCCTGAAGGCCTGGGAGACCCAGACACCATGCCGAGAGCCTGCTCCCCTCTGAAGGACCGGGCGACCCAATACCAGGTCAAACACCTGCTCCCCTCTGAAGGACTGGGCGACCCAACACCAGGCAAACACCTACTCCCCTCTGAAGGACTGGGCGACCCAACACCAGGCCAAACACCTGCTCCCCTCTGAAGGACCAGGCGACCCAACACCAGGCCGAGTGCCTACCCCTCTGTAGGACCTGTTGGGGTCTTTGTTGCTGCCTCTTGTGCAGCAGCTCCAGGAGGCAGCACCGTGAGCTTCTCCCTGCCTCTTGGCTGCTCTTTTCTCTCAGCTTCCTGTAGTGGCGGCATAAGAGGTTCCCAGGCAGAAGTGGCTCACTGAATGTGGCCCCTGCCCTCTGCCCAGGGTCCTTGGGAGTCAAGATTCTAGCAAGCAAGGGTGCAGGTGCAATGTTTGCAGCAAGCAAAGCCGGCGGTGGGATGCTGGGATGATGGAACCATCATGTACGCCTGGGACCAGGTCAACAGTTGACATATTCCTAACGCAGCAGGTGCTAGCAGTGGAGGGCAGTTAACAAAGCAGGAAACCAGAGCTAGGATACTGGTGTTATGGTTCCAGCTTGGTGCGCTGTGTGTGGGCTGTGTGACCTCGAGCAAGTTACTCAGAACAGTCGCTTCAAATGACATGGAGGTTTTATGCTGGGACTTGTTTCGGTTTGGGTTTCATGTCAGGAAATCTGGGTAATGATTCTTATCGGTGGTGGGGATTTATCTGCTTTTAGGATAATCCTGGAGATTGAGGAACCGGCCTCCAACCACAACGGGGGCCAGCTGCTTTTTGGGGACGACGGGAACCTCTATGTCTTCACCGGAGATGGCGGGATGGCCGGTGATCCCTTTGGGACGTTTGGAAATGCCCAAAACAAGTATGTGTGTTTGGAGCTGGCTGTGGCTTGGTCTACCTAAGCTCTTCTCTCCCCTTCCTCAAGGGAGCTTCTCCCCGGGGCCGGGAGATACGGAGCAGGGGCGAAGCATCCACCTGCGGCTCACTGGGGACCCCGTGAATTAGAGGGGGAGGAAAATCATCTCCAGGGGGAGTCTGCTAGTTGGTAGTCATACTAGCCCCCTTGTCACAGCCACCTGCTGAGTGACGTCAGGGAGCCCAGGGAAGAAGGCACTGATTTTATTTTCTTTGTATTGTTGTTTGCATAGTTGAGAGGGATGCATCCATGTGGGTCTGTTAGGGTGACGAGGGTCAAGGGATGGAGAAAGGGGATGAGACAAATGTTTGGAGTTTTTTCCCCTGTGTGCACAGTGAGGGAAGGGGGAGTGGACCATTCCTCGCTGTCAAACTGAGTCAGCATGGGGCTTACGACGCTTTCGAGGCTCTGCTGTGGGGGAGGGTGCTTCAAGGTGCTGCTTGAGTGGTTGATATGCTCATCAGCTTCATTGCTCCAGGGTTGTAAGATCTTTCCAGTCTTTTGACTGACCATGTCTACCTGTCGTGGGATACAAGAGACCGCACTGGACAGGTCTAGGATGTATTAAGGATCTTGTTTGTCAGCCAAGCTTGGTGATGGCAGGGCCCACTAGAAATTAGCAAATTAGAAGTCCGGTGGCAACCCAGTCTGAATTGAAACCCTAAGAGGAACAAATAGACATTATCATGAAACCTGTCTGTGAAACTGAAGACCCATGTCCCAGCTTCCCCAGCGATATCAGTTATCCTGAGAGACGTGCACATACCTGAACACACACAGCTATTAACATTCACCTTTTCCTGGCTCCTCTGTCCGTATTCATCACTGATTGCCATACCCCCGCGGGAAACCTTGAGAATACACAAACTAGAAATACAAAGCATCTTAACCTTTGCATCTTCACTGACTTGCCCACGCCGTGAGTAGAGTGAAGAATACAGGATACAGGGGCCATGTTCAGGGGCGACCTGTCCTGGGAGTCTGTCTATGGGAAGCCGGAGAGCAAGTGAGTAATGGGGAAGGCCTAGAGTCAGAGTACAAGAGTGACAGAGAGAGAGGGAGCGAGCCAGCCCCTCCCTATCATGGGCCTTTATGGGAGCTTGCGAGGGGAGTGGTTACACAATAATGCAATTCTGCCCCCTCTCAGGTTCCAGAGGATGATAGGTGAGCATCATAGATGGGCAGAAAGGACCACCTAGATAGGGGAGATGTGGCTTTCAAGCTCATGACCATGAACTAGCTGCCTAAGACCACAACCTGCCTTGGGACACTCAACAAAAGGAAGGACTAAGATCAGCCTGAGGCTTGAGTGCCGGAGGAAGGGAAGGGGCACGCCTTGGCCCGCTGGGAGCTGGAAGTGTCACATAGTACCCCCTGTGCCCCAGGTGGGGAGCTGGAAGTTGTTCTCATGTGCACATCTCTTAGCAGGAGCACAGGCCTGCCCTCAGTGCACTCCTTACATACCCGCACATGCTCACCTCACAGACATAAACAGGGATACTTGGGAGTCTTTAAGTCAGCAAACCACCAACCCTTCTACAGCGCAGAAAATTAGAACAGCGCGCATGATGCTGATGACAGCCAATAAGGCGCTCACAATGTGTGGCTTGTGCCTCCCTCGGCAGCAGTGTGAGAGCCAGCCGGCTTTCTTGCGTTTGGGATGTGTTTGCAAAGGAAGTTGAGAAAACAGAAATTACAAGCTTGTGGGTAATTGGGCAGAACCTCAACACATTATTTTGCTGTTATGAGTTCTGCCTGCCGGGTGGTGTGGAGGCCCCCAGGGCGGGGTCTCTGCTGTGATGTGCAGCAGGCTGGAGCAGCTGGGGGACAGGGGGAAGCTCACCGGTTGGAGGGGTGGGGGGAACCAGGGCCAGCAGACAGGGGTTAAGCAGCACGAGGCATCTGTGAAGGGGGATGGGGAGTGCTTTAGCACGGATAAGAGGATGTTGGCTCTGTGTCTGTGGAGGTAGGCAGCACATGAGTGCAATGCTGTGTAAGAGTGATGACACATAGCATGTGAACATGCAGACCATGGCAGGCCACATTAGGGACATCCGAGTGCTACCAGAAAGCACAGGGAGCGACACATTTTAAAAAGTGCCTACAATGTATTTGAAAAGCAGAGTGACAGCGAGAGAGGGGGAAAGAGACAGATCTTCCATCCACTGGTTCATCCCTAACCACTGCCAGCAGCTGCCAGCACTGCCAGGGCTGGCCGGGCTGTTTCAGAGAGCTCTCCTACCTGGATGGCGAGGCCCCAAGTGCCCAAGCCATTATCTGTAGCCTCCTTGGAGTGTTAACAGGAATTGCACCAGAAGTGGAGGGGGATCCCAAGCCAGGACTTGGTTCATTGCCATACAGTATCCACTCCAAAAGTGATGTGTTTAATAGGAGTATGGAGAAGCACAGACAGGGGCTGGAGTGGTGCCTCATGCAATGCTGGCATTCCATATGAGCGCCAGTTCAGTCCCAGCTGCTCCACTTTTGATCCAGCTCCCTGCTAATGCCCCTGGGAAAGCAGCCAAAGACGGCACCACCCACATGGGATACCCACATGAAGTTCTAGTCCCCTGGCTGGCTTCTGGCTTCAGCCTGTCCCAGGCCCAGCTATGGTGGCCATTTGGAGGAGTGAACCAGTGGACGGAAGACAGAAAGTAAAAGAAGCATAGTTGGAAAGCCCTTCCTCTTCATGGTGTCCTCCAAGCACATTATGGATTTTCCGTCATTTTTATCATGTGGCCAGTGAAACCAGAAGCGACACCCTGCGTTCCAGTTGACCGGGATGGGAGCGCTAGGGATGGGTCCTGGTTCTTTCCCAACTCCTGGCCCTCACTGTGCTCTTTCTCTGGCGGCTCCCTCTTCATCCACTGTTGTAGTCAGCGGGCTGGGTACTGGAGAAAGAGGGAGCCAGGCACTCTTTCTAGGGGGATTTTTGCCCTCCAGCATGACCTTGTATGCAGCAGAACCGAGCAGGGCTGGCGGCAGGGCCCCCTGTGCGACTCAAACTCCACTGCCGTGTCTGCGACTGTGGGTCACACTCACTCGGAGAGATGCAGATGATGCAGTGGGTGACCTGCGGCAGCCAGGGCTTGGGTTCAGGGCCTGGCAGCCAGGGCTTGGGTTCAGGGCCTGGCAGCCAGGGCTTGGGTTCAGGGCCTGGCAGCCAGGGCTTGGGTTCAGGGCCTGGCAGCCAGGGCTTGGGTTCAGGGCCTGGCAGCCAGGGCTTGGGTTCAGGGCCTGGCAGCCAGGGCTTGGGTTCAGGGCCTGGCAGGCGGTGAGATGTCCCTTACGCGTGGGAAGTGTGTGAGTGCTGGAGCTGGCAGGAGCCGCTTCTCTGCCCCCAGCCTAGGTTTGCAGCCGGCGCAGGCACCTCTCCTGTGAGGCTCCTGCGTTCCCAGCGGCCGCAGCCGGCGCTCCGTCACTCCCGCAGGTCGGCGCTACTGGGCAAGGTGCTGCGCATCGACGTGGAACATAACGAGCACGGCCCGCTCTACCGCATCCCACCCGACAACCCTTTCGTGGGCGACCCCACCGCGCGGCCCGAGGTCTACGCCCTGGGCGTTCGCAACATGTGGCGCTGCTCCTTCGACCGCGGCGACCCGGTGACAGGCGCGGGCCGCGGGCGCCTGTTCTGCGGCGACGTGGGCCAGAACAAGTTCGAGGAGGTGGACCTGGTAGAGCGCGGCGGCAACTACGGCTGGCGCGCCAAAGAGGGCTTCGAGTGCTATGACCGCAAGCTGTGCGCCAACGCCTCGCTCGGTGGGTGACTGCCCGCATCTCGCCTGGCCTCGGCCCGCGGGTGCCCCCTTCCCACCTCCGTGGCCCCTATCCCGGACCCCCGTCCACACCCAAGGCTGTACGCAGGTCTCCTTGGAGGAGACCTGTTGCACCTCCCTGGCTCTCTCCCTCCTGCACCTCCATCTCAGGCCATCTTGGTGATCCTGTTCCCAGAGCCGTGTGGGTACTCTCTGGCTCATCCTGTCTGTCCCCTGTGTAGATGACGTACTGCCCATCTTTGCCTACCCACACAAGCTGGGCAAGTCTGTCACCGGCGGCTATGTGTACCGAGGCTGTGAGTACCCCAACTTGAATGGCCTCTACATTTTTGGTGATTTCATGAGCGGGTAAGTAGTAGGGGGGCTGGAGGGCTCCACCCCTGGCTGCTGTGGTGTGCATGTAGATGGTGCAATGTCGGCCAGGCCCTGCCCATTTCCTCCTTGTGTGCGTCCTGAGCCTGTAGAATAGGGGTAGTAATTCCCGGGTCACTCGCCACCTGTGCAGAGCCGCTCAGGTGGGTGGCCTTATGCCCTGGCCCTGTGGACACAGGAGTGGCTGGCTGGCTGGACAGATGGATGGATAGACACTGTGGTTGGGGTGGGGTCCCCCTTGCACATCACACCCACAAGACTCCCGCAGCTCCTGCTCCTTTGCAGACGGCTGATGTCCCTCCGAGAGAATGAGGGGACAGGCCAGTGGCAGTACAGTGAGATCTGCATGGGCCGTGGCCAGACCTGCGCCTTCCCAGGCCTCATCAACAACTACTACCCACACATCATCTCCTTCGCTGAGGATGAAGCCGGTGAGCGTCCCTGAGACCCCCCGCCCCCAACACCCCCAGGCTGGAAGTAATAGCTGCTCCGCGGAGGGAGGCGTTGGAGGCCAGCCCTTACCTGTGCGCCCTCCTGCACAAGTCCTGACCTCTCTGAGGCTCTGCTTCCTCGCATCCCTCTATGTCAGCCAGATGACAGGGTCTCCAGCAGTCAGTGGATCAGGAATGCGGGGATGCAGGCAGGTTGGGAGGAGTGCCTCTCCAGAGACTTCTACCACTATCCTGGGTTCCTGAAGGCAGGAGTTGGGAGCCCTTTGGAAACCACCTCAGTGGCGGCATTTCAAAGCAGTGTAGACGGCTTACCGCCTGCCAGCAGGCTCTGGTGTTGGCAGGGCAGGAGGCAGGGCCCCCGAGGGCAGATCCAGCTCCAGCCTCCTGCCTTTGTCTGGGCTCTGGGATTGTTCCGACAAAAGCCGGGTTGGGGGTGGGGGGCAAGCTGGCCCTGTGGATGCTTGTCAGGGTTGCTAGGCAACATCCATGGCTGGCAGAGTTGGGGGCAGGGGGACTGAAAGGGCCCAGGCTCGGAAACCTTTTTGGGATCAGCCCCAGCCCCGGCCCACCGAGCTCTTGTTGTGTGCTCTGAAGCAGGGGTCTTGGTCCCCTGCGGATATGGGGCCTGGAAGGAAGGCACAGCAGCCTCTTGCCTGGCTGTGGCTAAGCTAGGTACCCTCTTTCGTGCCGTGGGGTGTGTGGGGTTGACTGTGAGATGCAGGCAGGGGTCAGCCAGGGCTGGGTCACCAGGCAGAAGGCTGGAGGGATGGTCAGAGCCTGGGTGGGTCTAAGCAGAGTGACCCGTTACCAGGCAACTGTGCCGAGAAGCCAGGGCAGTCTGGCCTGCCCCAGCATCTCAGCTGGTGGCATTCTGAGGTTGGGGTGCATTTCTGGAACCAGGGAGCCTGCAGCTGGCTGGGACAGTCCTGCAGGCCGCCTCACTGTCACCTGCTCATTATTCAAAGGGGAGCTATACTTCATGTCGACTGGCGTGCCTAGTGCCACAGCTGCCCGGGGAGTTATCTACAAAGTCATCGACCCCTCTAGGTAAGTCCCTGTGCCTGACTCCCCAAGGCAGGGGTCTCTAATAGACCTATTTCAGATGTGAATAGCGAGACCCAGGGAGGAGAGGCACCATTGGTGATGGGCAGGTGTCCATGTGGACCTGCCTCCAAGGGTGGGGCTGTTCAGACAGAAAGGCGCGCGGCGTCCCTGACTCTGCTGCCACCATCTCGCCAGACGTCCTCCCCTACATTGTCCCGTTTCCTCGGTCTGGCATGCTCCCTTTCCACTCCTCACTTACCGGGAGGAAACTCCCCCCGGGCCTTGGCTGTGGAATGCCCCTCAGACCCCCTCACTCTGATGTGTCCCCATCTGAGCCTGTTCCCTTCCTCCTCCTCCCCTCCCTCGCCCTGGGACCTGCCTTCCACTGAGCAGACCCCTCCTCCCAGGAGCCCTCAAGCCCCTCCCCAGCTCCCCTTGGTTCTGTCCACACCTGTTCCTGGTGCCTGGCCCCGGAGCAGGAGTGTCAGGCTAAGTGCTGGGCTGTATGCTGACTCCTTCTGTGCGTGGCTCATTGGTGCTCAGTGACCCATTTTCTGGAAGAGGAAATGAGTCATTAAATCATGTGCCGGGGCCCTGTGAGTCCAGGCAGGGAACCTTCTCCAACCCCTTTCCTTTAGCCCTTGCCTGGCTTCCTTGCAGCTCTTGCTGTGCACCCCCGAGGCCCCCGCACTGCCTCCTTCCTGGTCTGGGAGTCACCCTCCGGCCTTGGGTGTTTGCTGGCTTTCCCACAGTGTGTTCTCGGCCCGGGAGGGTGTCCCGGCAGTTGCTCAGGTTTGGCCCCCCCGGGAGAAGCCCCAAACTGGGAGACGTGAGGGTTGGAAAAACCTAGAGGCACCTGTTAGGTCTGGAAACCTCGTCTTTAATTGGAGAGCAGTTTGGGATTTACAGGAAGCTCCCAAGGCCAGGTACCCCCAGGTTCACCAGGGACTGTCACGGCTGCGTTTCTTCTTCCTTCGTCCCGGGTTTTCCTACTTGGTCCTTGGGGTCTGCCTTCTCTTCTGGAATACCTTCGTTGCCGTGTCCTCAACGTCCTGTGGTCCCTGCTCGGAGCCATCTAGATTTGGCCTTGTTTGCCACTCCCCCCCACCACCTTTTTTTTTTTTTTCCGTGAGGAACAATCTATTAATCAGTGACATGACTGTATCAAGAAGCACTGGGCCCTGTCTGCCTGTGTCCCCCTCTTCCCCCGTGTGGTCAGAGACTCCTGTGTGCCTCCGCCCCTGTTGGCTAGGAAGCCTGCCCATTGCCATGCCACCCCTCCCAGGATGGCCCCGCAGGCCCTGTGGTTTCTGCTAAGTCGCTGTCCCACTCTGGGAGCTCTGAGGTCGTTTCCGGTGTGACCACGGCTGCTGTGCTGTGGAGAGCACTGCACTAATCCTGGCCTTCCCACCAGCTGCTGCCCCTGACTTGGCTCCTGGCTCCGCTGCCCTCCCCTCCTTGTCTGGGCGTCAGGGGAAGGGGGCCCAGAGGTGGAGAATCTGAGCTGCAGAGGCCAGGCGTGGGCTCCACGGCGCCCTCGCTGCACAGCCCCGGCCTTCTCCTCCTGTCTCTTTTGGAAGAAATATGTTCCCTTAATGTGGAAGGCAGAGGGGGCTGGGTGTGCTCACACACAACTGCTGGGGCACTTGAAGGGCAGTGCCCTAGCTTCTGCCAAGCAAAGGTTTTCTCTGTGATTCCCTACAGAACAACCCCCTCTGCCAGCTGTGAGCCAGAGGTCAGGACAGGCTCTGGGAAGCCCGGTGGCTTGGCTGGGCCTTCCCAGCCGCCGTCCAGTCCCTCCTCCGTACTCTCCATGGCCAGGAGGCTGCTGTGTGTCATGGGGCTGCTCCCCACCTCGTGCTGACGGCACCCTATTGAAGTCTGTGCCCACGGAGGTGGGGGGCAGTCCCTGAACAGGGCCGGTCTCATTCAGAGAGCCACAGATCCATGGCCAAAAACTAATTAAGATGGAATTCCATTCCTTCCCTGTGCGTTGTCGCAAAAAATGTTAGAGGAGACCCAACTGGGAGCCTGGCAACCGCTCTGTACCTCCTCCTCCCTCAAGCCCTCAGCTCTGTCCCAGCCCCCCGCAGTAGAGCCTGCCCTCACCGCCGCCTGCTTCCCCCAGGCCCAAGGGCCTCTGCCCTCATGCAGCCCCAGAGCTACAGGAGCCACAGGGACCCGTGGAGCCCAGCCTGCAGCCTCGGGGAGGACAGGCGCTGTGCAGGCGGCAGCTGCCTGTGCGCCCACCCAGCCTGGGTTCCTGGGACCCTGTGGCTGCAGAGTGGACAGGGATGCTGCAGGCTGCATGGCAGTGGACGGTCACCTATTTCTGCCCTGTCTGCACCTCCTTGTCTCTGCCTCACAACAGGACAGGTGCCAGGGGGCATAGACAGGGTGGCTCCCTGGGTGGTCCTCATGACCTTCTGTGTGTCTTTGGCAGACGGGCACCACCTGGCAAGTGCCAGATCCAGCCTGCCCAGGTGAAGGTGAGGAGTCGTCTCATCCCGTTTGTACGCAAGGAGAGTAAGTGCCCACCGAGGGGAGCCCGGGGAGGCAGGGCGGGGTGGGGGGACCTTACAGACTGCACCTGCTGCCCCTCCACTCAGCCCAGCTGGCCCTCGGGGCCCACTGCCCCAGCCTGGCTCTCATTAGACACTATCTCAGTGGGTAGAACTTCAACTAGGCAGTACTGTTATTTTAGTAGGCCTCAACTCCCTTCTTTAATAATTTATTTGAAAGGCAGAGTGGCAGAGAAAGAAAAAGAGAGAAATAGGGAGAGGGAGAAAGGAGATACAGCTTTCATCAGCTGGTTGGCTCCTGGCTGGGCCAGATTTTTCTGGGTTACCCATATGAGTGGCAGGCCCCAGCTCCTTGGGCCATCTTCTGCTGCTTGTCCAGGCACAGTGGCAGGAAACTGGATAGGAAGTGGAGCAGCCTGGACCCAAATCGGCACCCATATGGGATGCTGGCATTGCAGGCTGGGGCTTAACCACAATGCAGGCCCCTTGGCCAGGTGCCAGGTCGTGGGGCTGCATGCCTTAGAAGGTACATGGCGAGGGGAGGAACGCCTGGTGCCAGGCGAGGTCTTCTTAGCGTTCTTAGGAGAGATGAGCAAGAGGACATATCTGTGTGAGGACGGGGAGAGGGCAGCGAGTGGCTAGGAGGTAGCTGGGCTCTTGAGGTTCTTCCATCAGCCGGAGGCTCAGTGAGGAGGGAGGCAGGGGCTGGTGAGCAGACTCCTGCGCAGCTGGAGGGCCGGGCGAGGCCACAGCCTGTGGGGCCATGGGCCCACGGAAGGGGCCGTGCCTTGGGCCCATGCTAGGCAGGGACAGGGTCCCGTGTTGCCAGGCCCTGTAGCCTTTAAGGCGCCGGGAACTCCCTCCTGCCTGCCCTGGAGCATATGGACTCGGAGCGGGGCTCCAAGTGAGCCAGGCAGCCTGGGCCTGCCTTCTGGGCTGCTCCATTCATCTCAATGGGAAATGTTGGCAACAGGTTCAGAATTGTCAAAACCAGCCTAGGGGCCAGAGGAACTAGCTCAGAGGGCCAAGTGTGCTTGCTCAGCTCTGTCCCAGCTGGCAGGCTGGGTGTCTGGGGGGAGGGGCTGGAGGCAGGGGCTGGGCATCTGAGTGGGGTAGGGTGCAGGGCCCCGAGGAAAGGCTGGGCTCAGTGTCTGGGTGTTGCTTCCAGCTGCAGCAGCTTCTGGCTTGGCGAGGGCCTCACTCATTCAGCAGGCTCTGGCCTGGCTCTGGTCACCATCTCCAAGCTGGATGCTGCGCCCCAGGCCGGAGCCAGACCAGGCTATGTCCCGCCTGGATGGGACAGAGGAGGTATTTAGTGCCCAGGCCCCGTGACACAAGTGTGTGCCGGGTCCCATGGGAAGCCTCCCAGAGCCGTGCCAGGCTGGGGTGGGGGTGGGACTCCCTGGAGCCTGGGAAGCAGAGGAGTCCTGCAGTGGCCTGGGGAGCAGGAGGGCCTTCCCGGAATGGGAAATCACCCGTGGCTCAGCCTGCTAGTGGGGGCCTTCTCAACTCTGAGGGGTTTTCTTAATGGGACTGGCTAGGGTGGGTCAAGAGATAAAGGGACTCATCTGGCTTGGGGACAGTGACCCTCCCCTGACCTCAGAGCTGTACCACCTGTGCCTGTGTGGGGTGGGACTGGACAGAACACATTTTATGTAGACCCTGGACTGTCCCCTGGGGCCAACCTGCACCCTACCTGTCTCTACATCCTGCAGGGACAAAGGTCATGACCCCGGGAGCTACCCAGTGCTGGCACTGGGGACTCTGCTCTTCACCCCACTCCCAGCTTGGATCCATGTGGGCCTTGCCATGTACCCCGAGAGTTACCACTCAGCCCACTGTGGCAGGGGCAGCCTTGCCAGCCGGACTCCCTTGGGCCCGCCAGAGGGTCCCATCGGGACCACAGCACCCTCACCCTGAACACCAGGGATGGAAGCAAAAAGGCCTTTCTTTTTCTTGGAAACCACCCAGGGAACCCTGGGCTACATGGTCAGGTTCATCTCCCACCAGCCTGGGCACTCCCCAGCAGACGCTGAGGGAGGGCCCACAGCAGACCGACAGCAAGCAGGTACCAGTGGGTACTTGCTGATGAAGTGCCTGGCACCTGGCTTTAGACTGCACACTGCAGGCCCACTGTGCCCCAAGGGGCAGTCCAGGGTTTTCAAGGGCTCACGGAGGGCAGGTGCAGGGGACGCTCCGCGCTGGGCAGCTGTGACCCTTCTATCTGCTCTTTCTCTACGCAGAGTTCATCCACACCACGGACAGCACCCCACGCCCCAAGCCGCGCCCCACAGCACAGGCACCCACCAAAGCACCGCGCCGCAGGCGTCCTACGGCCGCTCCGCCCACGCCCACCCCGAGGCCTGTCAGGCCCACCCCTCGGCCCACCAGCCCCACTCGGCGTACAGGGGGGCGGAGAGGTGGCGGCGGGCGGCGGCAGGGGCGACCAAGCACAGCGATTCCGGCGCCCTCGGACGGCGCAGTGCGCC